TTGAAGATATTTTGAATGATTACTAATGATCTCTGACAGGGAAAAGGAAAGTATATTGTCTATTACATGAATCAAGAATTCCAAGTTTGGTGAGAGGAAAATGTGTAAGAAAACTGCCCATTCTAGGAACTAGTAATCATTCATTTCAAACAAACAGTGGCATAATTTGTTTTCCAGGGTAAATGTATATTACATTACCTGCATTTAGGGAAATAGTTGCTAATTTATTATTTGTGCTAATTATTTATAAAACTTCTGATCTGAATGAAGCCTCTGGTTTGCTTGGAGATTTTACTGACCACAGCCTGTTAGACGCCTCTTGGAAAAACAATTGTCATGACAGTAACTTAGACTCACCCTCAAAGAATCCAACAGATTATCTGAGGAGATTGCCTCATCTGCAGCTAATGTGCTGTGTCCTGCTCATGTGATGTTGGTTAGACTGTTGCTCTGAGTGCTGTGGCGTAGGAGGGCGGAGAAAACTGAGGCCAGTTTTAGATAGGTGACTATTTGTAGATTCCACGAATACCAACAAGAGTGTTAGAAAGTCAAATGTGCCAAATTTAGAGCTAGTACTCGCATTAGTGTGGGCAGACTGGCTGCTAACGTACATTGGACTCCTACTGCTAAGCAATTTTATGTGGATTATTTTACTTAATTCTCACAACAGTCCTATAATTATCCCCATTTTACTTACGAGGAAACATGTAGAAATCGAGCAACTTGACTAGTTAATAGAGCTGCGTTTGAATTTGCCCAGCTTTAGAGCTCATGCTAGCATATTCTTTCTTGGCTTGTTTCTGAGACCTCAAATACAACTTCAGCCATGGGATATCTTTTTCCGTTAGTTGGTTTACATGCAAAAGTGGCCTTTTCTATGTAGGTCCCAACAGAGAAGGTCACCTTTAATTTATTCAGCAAGTCTTTGTTGAGTGCCTACTCTGCTCTGCCAGGCACTGCGAGCTGCAGCGCTGGACACCACAGAGTTCCCACGTGGGGTTTTCTCCAGCCTCCAACTCCGTCTTTCCTAGCGACACCTGTCATAACACCAGGACGTTTTTGAGATGTCCTGGAACTGCCCACCCTCCGTCACCCTTCACACTGCTTTCAGGATGTTAAACTATAACCCCTTTGGTTCTTTAAATTAGTTTTACGAAAAGTTTCTCTTTCAGAGAAAAAGTATATACCTTTGAGGCTTTAACATTTTCCGTCTTCAACAAAAGGTTAAACAGGGCTGGGAAAAAATATGTGTCATCCCAAACTCGTAAAAAAGCTTGTTCAGAGAAAAAGCAGAAACACATGTTTTTACTATTAAAAAGCAAGACAAAAATAAACTTAGTATTGGTCTTAAGACATCAGGAAGGAAAGAACAATAAACCAAAAGGAAGTAGGAAAAGGAAATAGTAAAGATAAAAAGTGAATTAAATAAAAATAACATCAAAAACAAAAGAGGAAAACTTAAAAGCTGGTTCCTTGTAAAGATCAGTAAGTTTCCTTCCCAAGGAGTAATCCACTTTTAAAAAAATCTCATTAGGTTTTTTTAAAGAATTAGCCAAAATGATTTTTAAATCTATTAAGTAAATAAACCTACTTAAGAAGAACGTTTCTCACAAGATGAATGTCTTTCAGTAGGGGCCGATTTCGTAAGCTGCAGTGCATCCATACAGTGGGATGACACGCAGTCGTAAACACAGAAGTTCTCGATGTTTTGATGGGGAACAAAGCAAGGTGCAGAGCAGTGCGTGTAGTACACTGGCTTCGTGTGAAAATAGAAGGAAGGAAGAAAATGTTAGCATTGGCTTTTATATGCATAAAGACATGCTGGGAGGAAGGTTGCCCTAAGTCTGTCGCTTTCATGGTTCCCTGCGATGGTGGGAGCGGGGCAGAGATGGGACAAGAATCTAGTAAGGGAGACTCATCCCTCTGTACATATTTATATTCAAAATGTTCAAACTATAAGAATGTATTGAATTTAAATTATTTAATTGAAAAATAATTTATATTAAATAATTTACATATAAAGAGTTTTTATTTTTTAAATCAGTAAGAAAAAGGTGAATATCCCAAATGAAAAATGTGAAAAGTACATACTGTGACACATCCGTACTAAACAGATGTCATCACATAGCAGGGAAAGCGAACCATGGTGTCAGCAGTGACTGCCTCTGGGTGTTGAGAGCACAAGTATTAGATTTATTTTTTGCTTGTAATAGTCTTAATTTCCTGCAGTAATCCACCTCTTAAAAATTGGTGGAATTAAGCAGAAAGAAGCTCAGGAAAAAGTAAGAAGATCAAAGAATAATTCTGAAGAATAGTAAATATGAGTGATTGTAACGTAGCAGTAAATGAACCTGTAGAAAGACTCAAACACGTTTGTGGTGTTCTCACGCGCACGCGAGAGGAAATGTGATAAAACGAGTATTTGAAACAGAAAAGTGGCTAAGGAAGGAAAATTCATAAATGCTGGTGAGGTAATTTTGGAAACAGTGTTCACATATTATCGCAAACGACGGCTGGGACAAAGTCAAATGTTTAAAAAGACTCAGAGCTTTGAACAGTTCATGTAAAATAAAATGTTAAGAATAGTAGTTTTGTCTACAGCCATGTCACCCTGAGCAGGCCGGATCCCGTCTAATCACAGAAGCTAAGCAGGGCCAGGCCTGCTTAGTACTTGGATGGGAGACCACCTAGGAAGATCAGGTGCTGTAGGTATTAAAAAAAAAAAAGAAGAATAGTAGTTTTAATAGTTGTAAAGAAATAGACAGCCTCACAGTGGAAAATATCAATATTTTCAAGAATTTACATTTTCACGTAACAGAGGCCGAAAGCACAAGTTTCTGGACGTGTGAATATTTTTCCTTAATATGTGTGTGTTATTATTGCTTTTAATGGATAAGGATATAAAGGAAGTAGGAAGAACCACACACACCATTGTTACAGCGAATTATAGATGAACTTTCATTTCCTTTAATGATGTAGGTGTTTTATTTTTGAAGCAAGAAAATCCCTCTGGAGTAATAGAATATTTTTCTAAAGGAAATAATTATTTTGGTGGACAGCACCCTTAATGACTAATATTACACAGGCTATTTCATTATTGGGATATGTCAGGTATCGAATCATTGGTGACATAAAGTCACCCGGGTAAACTTTGCCAGTCTTTGGGAAGGACCCTAAAGAGCTGAAGGGAAGGTAGAGAGCAGCTGACAGAAATGACGGGGCGCAGTCCTTGATCGCTGGTCGGAATCGCAAAGGATTAGGCTGTGGAGTGATGTCCGCATGTGCATTTGAATGTTCTCTTCTTCCAGGTCGGTGGCACCAAGGCCGGTGTGGTCCGATTCCTTGGGGAGACAGACTTTGCCAAGGGGGAGTGGTGTGGTGTGGAGCTCGATGAGCCCCTCGGGAAGAATGACGGGGCCGTCGCCGGAACAAGGTAGGTTTGGGATTGTGCAGCCTCTTGTCTCCGCCGGCCCGGCAAGGTGCTCGCGTGGGTCTCGCCAGCTGTGTCCACCAAAACGGAAATACGTTTTGCCTAGAGGGGCCGCGCCTGTGCTTCTTGGGACTCATCGGCTGATTCTCCCCTCTAGGACTGGGGCTGTTCTTTTGACTGTGTCTTGTAGTAACATGTACAGTGCACCGGAGTAGATTCTGAACAAGCATCCCGTTTATTTATTTTTAAGACCTTTTTTTTTTTAGAGCAGGTTTAGGTTCACAGCAAAATCTAGAGGAAGGTACAGAGATGTCTCATATGCCTCCTGCCCCCCGCGCATGCCCAGCCTCCCTCATTATCCGCATTCTGTACCCACTGGTACATTTGTTACAACGGGTGACCTTACACTGACATGTCCTACTCGGCCAAAGTCCTTAGTTTATGCTAGGGCTCACTTTTGGCGGCGTACATTCTGTGGGTTTAGACAAATGTAAAACGTGTATCCACCACTATAATATCATATATGGTATTTTCAGTTTATTTTTCAAAATACAAAGTCAATGGCCAAGCGACTTTCTAGGCCTCGGCGGTGGGGGCGGTGAAGGTAAGGAGGCTGCTCTGTTAGGAAAAGAGCATTAAATGTGCCTTCACATCTGATGACAAGAACTCCGTCCTGTGACAAGAGGACAGACGGCAGGCAGACCTCTTCCAACGAGAGGAGAACCTCACCCTCCCCTCCCAGAGATGGGCGGGAGCTAAATAATGCAGATGAATGCAAAAGGAATGCCACACTTCCTTTCCAAAGTATGTCAAAGGCCTTGGGTACAGATGTGGCATATGATGCATCAATGGCAGTAGTAGTGTAAAGTGCTGTAGTTAACGTTTTACGTATAAAACGTACCCAGATTGGTCATAAGCATTTGGCTTTATCTCCTGACTGCAATAACAATGCCTCGAAGAGGTAAAAATCTCTTGGTGCTGCAGCGGCTATGAAGCCATCTCTTCTCGACAGAAGAGCAGCGCAGTTCTCCGGAGTCAGCTCTTCAGTGTCCACCTGCTGACCGGCCTTGCTAGTTCATCCTCCTCCGCCTTTACTTTGCTGAATCTGCCAGGGTTGGGCCCTGGTTTCGTTACCTTTTTCCTTTGTCTGGCAAGGTTTTCTTAAGTGGGGTCACTATATTGTTGAACTCCTCTGCCATTCATTTATGAGATAATAGAAATATTCATTTCCTTTGCATAGAACCCTAGTAACAGATGAGTAATTCTGTCTCTGTATACCATGTTGTTGTTTATTAGTGTGTTTGCTAAAGCATCAGTGCAGTTACTTATCAGCCTCCATACATGTGAATACCACATGCTGGTGCGTCACCCCAACTTATTGGTAGAATTCACAGCAAACCAGTCACAGAGAGCTTTTCGGTTATAGTCGTTTCTTGCAATTACGTTTTTTTATTACTGTTCTTATTGTCCTCTAAAGGTATTTTCAGTGTCAACCCAAATATGGTTTATTCGCTCCTGTCCACAAAGTGACCAAGATTGGCTTCCCTTCCACCACGCCAGCCAAAGCCAAGGCTGCCGCCGTGAGACGAGTGATGGCGACCACTACCGCTAGCCTGAAGCGCAGCCCGTCCGCCTCCTCCCTCAGCTCCGTGAGCTCGGTGGCCTCGTCCGTGAGCAGCAAGCCCAGCCGCACAGGATTAGTAAGCCCCCTGTTCTTACTGCATGACTCTACTCCCAGGCCTGGTAATGCCCACCGTCCGTGCACCTGCTTTGCTTTGCTTTAAGAAATACTAAGTCTCCCCTTGCCCTTGCACTGAAAGTTAGTCATAGCTGGTAAAAGTCCTTGCAGGGGTCTCAAAATAAAACCCTAGCCAGAATACAAGTTTTAAACTAATGAGTTTTTAACAGCCCCTTTCCGATCCGTGAGGCTTTAAGATGTAGCAGTTCTTGGCGAATCTGTAGTAACAGCTGCTTAGTCTAACATGTGGGATGATTTCTTTTCTCTGAAATTACTTTGGGTACAGGAATGACAGGAAAATCGGGGAGATCCTCTTCCTCAAAGATGTAGGTGTCTTTCTCTTTGACTTCAAACAATTTCAGGAACTTAAGTATTTTGAGAAAAGCCACGTTCTTAGAATTTTAATAGGACGTGGGTACGGTCTAACTCACTGAAAGCAGTTGATGTGCGGGGTGCTCCTGACCGGGGCCAGAGGTTCCAGAGGGGAACTTACGGAACTTGAAAGGAAGCCAGGAAGAGCCATGCTTTGTTTTGTCTCCTCTCTCCACCTCCTCCTCCCACTCCCTCTTCTTCTCTTTCCCCTTTTCCCATTTAGATCAGTAAAAATGGAGTCATCAGAATTAAAATAGGCAGCAGCGTCTAGCTCATTTAGCTCCGATTGTTAACATGGTGTTTTGTTAGGGTCAGAGCAATGACTTTCTGGCTTTATCCCCTGCCCTTCAGTTTATTTACTTGAAGTGAGACAAATACTTTTTAAAATTTGAAATGGCAGCATAAGATTGTACTCAAGACTGAATTTGGGATCTCTGCATTTCGATGGCGAACCACAGACAGGAGTTCGAGTGTTAAGCGGCATCCCGGAGTAAGGCCCTCGATCTCACTGTGCCTTCTTCCCGTCAGTGTTGGGCAGGGAAGGGAAAG